CATGAAATAAACAGAGCCTGGCAAGTACACAGCAACATACCTCAACGGAGCCCTTCAACTTCTAGGCCAGAGCGGCAGGAATCTGAGACAGGGCTTCCTTCATCCCTTTCCCCATTCAGTTCCCTCCAGGGCTGGACACTGCTCTGTTGTGTGACCTCTTTGGGCTGGGAATTTTCCTAATGAGGCAGGAGGATTAGGTCTCCATGTTCCTTACACCTTTAACCACAGAGGGAAAACTTGATTTCATTGGGGTTGGGGGACATTTTTAGAAGGTATGGAAAACATACATGGGTGTTGAATATCTACTGCAAATTCAGAGAAGAGCCCCATAAAGGGAAATTTTATCTCAATTTTGAAAAGTCATTATGGTTCTGATCTTTATGGCCTGAATTTTTTTCTAGATAGTTTCCCCCTTCTCAGATTATGAAAGATCATATATATGTGATCATATATACATATATATATATATAGTCATTAAGTAAGAAAGTGGCAGAGCTGGTAAAAATTTTTAAAGACAGCAATACTTTGCAAAGACGTTTTAGTCATATGCTTTTTTCCAAATTGAAGTATAACATAGACACAGAAAGCTACATAAACCACAAGGAGGTTTCTCAACATTGGAAATAGCTTTAAAAAAATCATGCAAACCATGTCACTACTACCTACAGCAAAATGTTCCTTGAGCCCTAACAACTGTCTTCTCCCTCTTACTAATGCCATCGCAGAGGTGACCACTTCCTGATCTCATGTTCACTATTTTATACCTTATGATGACACATAGAAAGTCTAAAATAGCTCACATATAAGATCTATTGCATTTTGTTCTCTGCTTGCTCTTTGTTTTACGTATGTCACATATTGTTACAAGAATGGGTCACATTATTGTATGATATTTCAGTCTGACTTTACTTTTGTACAATACTAGCCATAATCATTTTAATTATATAAGATTTATATATCACTAAAATCCCATTTATATTACTATAAGTATACAGTTATTGCTTTATATAACACCTATTCATGAGTAAAACTAAGTTGTTTGTGTGTGTGTGTGTGTGTGTGTGTGTGTGTGTGTGTGTGTGTGTGTTTATGTGTGTGATGATGTAGTTGAACTCAGAGCCTCATGCATTCTAGGCAAGTATTTTACCTCTGAGCTTCGTCCCCAGACCATCACTTGTCATGGCTGTCTATAGCCTACTGATAGGTATAGCATAATTTGTAAACTACTTTAACTAATGATGAGCATTTAGTATTGTTCTAATTATGTTTAAAATTGCCCTTAGGATACTATTATGAGCAAAAGCATTCCAAGATTGTATAACCATATCTTAATGTTACTATTATTAATTATGAGGTGTTTGTGGTTTTTTTTTTGGGGGGGTGAAGGGTGGTTCTGCTTTGTTTATTGAAATGGAGTCTCACTCCTTAAACACTTGGCCCAAGGACAACTTTCCTAGTAGTTTGGACTATAGACATATACTACCTTGTCAGTTAATTATAAATGTTCTTGGTGTGTCTGTGTGTGTGTGTGTGTGTGTGTGTGTGTGTGTGTGTGTCTGTGTGTGTTACTGGAGTTTGAGCATGGAGCCTCATGCCTCTAGGCAAGTGGTCTAAAAACCATTAAGCTAAGCCCCCAATCTCCAATTATAAGTATTTGTAAGTACTGTATTTTATACTGTCCATTTTTCTCCTTCCTTCCTTCCTTCCTTCCTTCCTTCCCTCCCTCCCTTCCTCCCTTCTTTCTTTCTTTCTTTCTTTCTTTCTTTCTTTCTTTCTTTTGTTTGTTTTGTTTTTGGAAACAGGGTTTCTCTGTCTAGCTCTGGAGCCTGTCCTGGAATTCACTCTGTAGACCAGGCTGACCTTGAACTCACAGAGATCTGCTTGCCTCTGCCTCCCAAGTGCTGGGATTAAAGGCCTGTGTCACCACTGCCTGCCTGGCCTGTCTATATTTCTTTTTCTTTTTCTTTTTTTTTCTGTCTATATTTCTTGTTCTTTTTCTTTTCAGCATGCAGCCATATTGTGGTGCATGCTAAAGGACTGTGTGTGTGTGTGTGTGTGTGTGTGTGTGTGTGTGTGTGTTCCCAGTAGTTCCAGTCTAGCCCAACCTTGGGGCAGGAGACATAAAGCATATTTGAGTTCAAATAGTTCAAATACTGTGGATTTGCTTAAGATGATAAATATGACATATAATTTCAAAAGTCATCCAGAAATTCTCACCAGGTTTCATTTCTAGTTGTTGGATAATTTCTTCATAGATAATTCAATTCCTTCAAACCACAGAAGTGAAAAACAAAACAAAACAAAAGAAAAAGTGGCCAGCTCTACTGCTGTGGCTGAGTGAAGTTCCTGTAATGTGGCCTCTTCCACTAGACTGGAAAGCACCCTGTGAACACACACGGTGCATTTCTTCCCACTCTAATCCATGAATATCACTGCCCTCGTTTCTCAGCCCCAACCCCAGGCTTTTTGTGTAACACTGCATGCTTCTGATGAGGAGCAGGGGATTCTCTTACAACACTCCAATGCTGTGGTTGGCGTGTTTGCTGAATTTTCATTCGGGGTTTATTTTCCTGGTCAGTTGTTTATTTCTTAAAGGCTTTAAAACTATTGCAGGCCAAAAGACCAGTAGAAATAAGTCTCAGAGATTCATGTAGATGGGTTTTTATTAGGATATTTGTTTACACAAATGCTACAGTTCTTTTGAGTCTGGAGGCCATGGGATTACTATTGCTTTGTCGTGGAGTCCCTAGATCTTGGTGGGGGCTGTACATGCACCAGTTTCTCTTCCATTCGAACAAACTCAATTCCAGTCTCTTGTATTGGCAGGGCACACCAAAATCTTAATTTTCTCCGCCAGAGGAAGCAAAGTTGGCCTGGTAGCTTTTTAAAACTTGACTTTATTTTTTTATCCTATCACCCCTCTCCCCAAATACACACACACACACACACACACACACACACACACACACACACACCCCTACCTCACTCCTCACTCCACATGCCCCTCTTTCTAAAGCAATGAGGGCTTTAAAAACAGGAAACCATGTGTGAGTGAAAGTCAGTAAATGGCTCTTACTGTCCTAAGAGAAACAGTCAGGCAAATACTTGTTTCTTTTTAAACCTTCAAGTAAACATTTGAAAAAAATTGAAAAGCACGACTCTCTTAAAAGTCTGTCACGAATAGCTGGTGTCACTGTCAGCCTTTAGAGATAAAATGTGGGTGACCTTGTCTTTTTCATCGGTCAGCAAGCTGCTTATTTCCACGTGGTGGCGGACACCAAGGCAAAGCACAAAGATCTGTCTTGTTTTTGAGTGGCCACTGATAATCCCATGGCCCACTTTCTTGTCATTTATTAAACCTTTTCTACCACCAGGCAACTGGGCTTTCTCCAGATCCCTTGCTTTCAAAGCCTAGATATGGTATGTAAATGTGTCATGGGTCTCTAGTCATTACAGAAGCCACAGATCTTTTTTTTTATATATAATTTATTTATTAGTTCTAGTTAGGGAACAAGCTTGTTTCACATGTAAGTCCATTCTCCCTCTCCCTACCCTCACCACCACCCCTCCTCCCCCCC